AAAGAGTAAATGGAAAGAGTGCGTCCATTGGGATAGTCGGACAAATTCGCTTCGCACGCGTTCAACGGAATTCCCTCTAAAATTGATCCTTCTGGAGTTGGCTCTCTATGCTCTCTCGCAGTTTCTCACGCTTAGCACCTCAATGAAACCCGTACTAAAAGATTAAAGGCTATGGTCCCCGACTCGAATTGATCATACCAATTCAATGCTTCGTTTAACGGTCTCGGACGATTTCCGTTTCTTGTATATTAATTATTACTTTCGATTAATTTCATAGGTACTGTAGAATCGAAGTTATCGTCTCGTTCACGCTAAATGGGTGCATTGAATTTAGAATAAGATCGATATGGCGAAATCGAGATACAGTAATGGAAACGTTAATTTGCGATGAATTATTCTTTTGAGAATAATTAATTCGAGTAAATAATTATGGTTCGTCAATCTATTTCGATCGCGTATGTTCTGTGTTTACCTTATGACAATATTAATGTCCAACTAGTATAACATTACGTTAACAAACTCTCGTTAAATTTTCAGTTAATTATAGTTAATGGAGATACATGAAGCTTCATTACGTGTACAAGCATACTGCCAGAGGAAGGCAATAGTATAGTTTGTGTTTGTTGAAATTCATCTTTCAGTTTATATCTCATTATTTGAGATAATAATGCATAATAATGCCTAAACATCCTGTCGCATACATTTTTTCCATCATAATTTGACTTACAGAGGATTAATCGTAACAAGCATTAGAGTTTTAATCGTTTCTGCAAACCGCACCGTTCTACGTTTCCGCTGGTGAATGCAAAGGTTTCGTTCGAAAGTTTCGCGCGATCTACGGAAGTTTGTTTTCGTATCCCTTTCGCTGACTCCTGTTTTCCCGCCTAGCCGCGGGTATCCCATGAAAAATTTAATTCGGACAACAGCGCACGCTTCGCTAATTACTCCGCTTTCGGTTCATTATATCGTGCTGCGTGATTCAGTTATCATTAGGTGCTGGTCAAACAGGAAAAATAAACTAGCAGAAACCATAGATTGTTTACTTTCGATGTGCAACTTAACGCCAGTATAACGCTTGGAAATTCCAAGAAAAGAGGAAGAATGCATCGTCGAATATTCATTTTCGTCAGGTTATCAACAAAACTTCCGCAACAAGATAATGCCCGTTAATAATTTCTGAATTTTGGTAGCAGGGGTTAAGAAGAACCGCCATTATATATGTTTAGAGATATCTCGTTGTCGCCATACAGCCCCTGACATCGACGTGACTACGACACTGGGCACGTACATAAATTACAAATTATGCGGAAGAGATAAAGGTGACCGAGCAGGGTGGCACGTACAGACATATGTACGTACATGTTCCGCGTATGTACACGCGTATTATATGTATATAGAGGACGGGGAATAATTTCAAAGGGAACTACCGGATTTTACCAGGATTTAACTCGCCTCTTCAATATTCGCGTTTCTTTGAGCCGCCTTGTCAAACGTCCAGGATTTTCGTTAAATGAGCAAAAATCAACGTCCGTCGTCGCTTATGCAGTTTTTACCGTTACGGCGGCAGTCAACGATATTAATTTCCCGTTGCTCTGCGCGAGTCAAATTTAATCTTCGACGACGATTTTGACGGAAAATATACTGCGCGGCTGTTAATATTAATATCAGTCGTTTTAATCTTCTTATCAATGAAATTTAATCATTTAGCGCCACGAACGGAACAAAACTAGGCGATAGCTATAGAATTTCGAATTACTATTTCTATGTAAAAGTTCGGTAGTTTTTCAGACTATAAAGTTCCAGCTTTTTGCGCTCCACATTCCAACGTAATATCATTAAGATTTCTTTAAGATAGCACGGCCTTCTATTATTGCCCTTTAAATACTTTGCTCCTCCATCTCCATTTCTTCCCTTTCTGTAAAATTTGCTGCAAAAAATCCAGATGAACGAATACTTGCTTTTTTGCTGGGTGGAAGACGACGACGTTCCAGGAGCGGAACGTTAAAGCGATGCGCGAAACAGCGCCGGATACAAAAGCATTGCTAATTATTACGGAAAGTAGATCTTTGCAAGCGATCTAAGAATCATTTAAAACTAATTAAGAGCCACAAGGAGAGCGAGGTTTGTGCTAAGAAGCGGAATGCCCCGGGGCAACGAGGAAGTTAATAACGCCAAACGAGTAACACCGGGGTGAGACGCTTTCGTTAAGCCTTACGCTCTTGAAAAAAAGCTTTCATTAAAATATTATTAGCGCGGAAAGAATAGTGTCGACACCAGGGCGATGCAGGTCTAATATTTATACAAATACATGGTTTTTCTTAATGCGTGGATGATCGTGAGCTACCGCACCGATCGACGCTAACTGCATCGAACGAAATGTACGTTTGACTAAATTGTTCGTGAAGTTTTATGCAAAAAAAAAAAAAAAAAATAAAAAGTAAAACAATAATAAAAAATGTGCCGTTAAAAAAGTTGAAATCGGGCTAACTGTTCGCGTCGCGGTACGTCTCGCGTCAGCGGTCAAAGCAAATTAGCACTTCAGCGAATGGAGGTTATCGCCTAGCTTGTAGTAAACGAACAAGCGAAAATGCTTACGCTGTAGAAGTTATTCCATTTAAACTGTTACCTGCTTGTACCGACAAATATTTTAAACAAAATGTTAAAGGCTTCGAGAAGCAAATAATCTGTCGCGAGTAGTTTTTTTCGTACGATTTCTGCAAGTGGTAGAAAACGTGAAATATCTCTGCACCGATTTTATTTCTCAATTAATAGGTTAATCTGGGATCTAACTGCTGTCCAGCGTGCAGTCCAGTCCTGTCCAACATAAGCTCTGGAGCTTATAAAGCTTTCTCCACTAGGTGTTCGTTATAACAGTATGAAAACATTTGCTGATATCGTGTCATGTGCGCGCGCTACCTACATAAATATAATACGATGTACGGCGGGGGTTAAAGCCGCTCAAAAAGCTCTTCGGATGGCGCGGTAGCGCAGACTTACCTTCATTAAAACGTTAAGCACCGTGAAAGTCCCTAAAGAACCTTTTACAATACGCGATAAAAATGGAAAGAAGTTAAGTTTCTGGAGACGTCTCATTTTTTGCGAAGATTACGTTACGTTACGAAAACCAATGATTTAAACTCTCATTGTCGTTATTCATTCATAACACGGGAAGAATATATTCCTAAAATCTAAAGAAAGATTTTGTATAGAGCGAGCCGAGTTAATGGAGGTAAACCTAAAATCATGAGAGGGTCGGATCAAGAGTCTGTGTTATTTTAAAAGTACTATATTTATTATTCGTCTGTCGTATCACTTTAACAGACGATCATGCGTCATTTATATACAAATGTGTACACTCTGTACATTTTGTCCTATAGGATAAACGTTAATACGTAACCTGTACAGAAGCGAGAATTTGTCGATTACTAATCGCTAGGTTCCTGACAGCTTTACAACGTATTTATATCGGTTACAGTTAACACGCACGTGGTTCGCACTTTTCTTGTTTTTTTTTTTTTTTACATATCTTCCTTTTATTCTTGTTCGATCGCTTAACATTTAATTGACTAATTTAATTATTCGTCTGTTCGCGAGCACGCGGCCCGCGAAAATTTAATTCTCCTCGAAAGACTGTACCTCGTTTCGATAGATCGACCAATCGACAAACGTTGCGGAAGCAGAAAGCAATGTGAATTAGAGATGGCGTGAACTGCTACCTTTGAATCCACTCGTGATTCGATCACGTTCATTCTCAATCACGATGATTTTTCACAGTGATTCGTGACTCTTCGTGATCGCTTCCGATTGCCAGAGAACGTTCTTTTCACTACTCACGAATTACGTTGTTCTTAGATTATATATGTATTATAATACGGTCTAAAAGCAATGGTAATATAATTTTAATACAATTTAAATTTAACTCATTTGTAGTTTCTTGAATTTCCGCTAAGGGGAGACAGCGAGACACTAACGATAACAATTAACGTGAACCGCTTCGGAAACGCCATCTTCCGGATCGAAGTTTAATCACGACTGCGATCGTGACTGTGTGATCACCGTGAAAAATCACTAACAGTGATTTTTCACGCCATCCCTAATGTGAATGCGCGTGCGCGATCGCGGTCTTCGAAATCATACCGAACGGATTATCATACGAAGCGAAATTTGCTATTACGCGATCTTGGGGGCCGGGGAATAATTCGGGACGCCCTTTGGAAAATTCGCGAAACTGGTAAACAAACATTTTCGCTTATCGAGACGATTTCTTAAGTTGACGGTGGCGGCGCGACGATCGACCTCCCCGATCAACGTTACGACTTGAATCAAGCATGTCCGACTGAAACGCGTTACCTACTATAAATGCATTCTTTCGACTTTCCGGACCGAGTGCGACCGACACGTTACACCCTCGACTATCAGTGGAAACACCGTGGAAAAATAGTTTGCTTAATATCGTAGTGTCGTATTTATTCATACGTTAACAATATTCGGCGATCGAGCCGCGTAATCGATACCTCGTGTACAAAAAGGGTTAGGTCTAACGATAGGATCAACCTGAATATCATTTTGTGCGTGAAACGAATTCACGTTCTCGGATTAAGGAATCTACTTACTCGTTGGCCGAAACGAACAGCTTTCTCCGTACAGCTTGCACCTTTGTCCAAAGTATATTCCAAACACTTCACACACGTTCACTCGATCACGTGAAATTCATAACCACTCGTAAACATTTCGACATGCCGACTAAGAATGACATTCATCGATGGACGCTCGAGCACAACTGCCAACATAACAAAATTACGTTCGGTTTCCGATATGTTCACGTTCCGTACAAGGGTGTTCCTGCTTGCAAGAAAAACATCATTAGTGATCGTGGGTAAACGTTAACCGTCGTGCTTTGTGCTTCGAACGCATGTTTTGTGCCACAAGGTCACAATCTTGACAAGCCCTTTGTTCGCTGATTTTCAACGACGCTGTAATTAGCGAGAATGCGGTGGAAGCGGTTATGGTAAGTAATTCGTCCTAAACTAACTCCAAACACGTCACATGGCGCGCAACGAGCGATTCAAACTTTTAGCACTAATCAGTTTCGTTTGCCTCGCGGATGGAAATAATAGATTAATCATCCCGCAATGCAACTTCGTTTCAGAACGATTAATCGTTAAAGGTGCAAAGATGCATAGATATACGTGTGTAATTTATCTTGACCATTTTCACATTTACGTTGCCTTCAGTGGTACGAAAGAATGTCGAGATGAAGATAGGATAATATTCTCTATAAAAAAAAAAAAAAAAAACAAATTGCGACCGATTCCCTGAAGAGTAACTATTGGGTCTAAAAATTGTTTCGCGAATTTGCGAAATGCAAATAGTAAAAAATTGTTTCGGAGTGAAATTCTCATTCTCGCGCATTTTTTCGCAGCTTTGGAAGCAACGCCGATGGCTACGAAAAATTACAACGGTGCATTCGAAATGTCATTTTTCAATTTTCGTGGCGCGGCCTCGTAACCGAAACAAAATGAGATTGTATATTTTTTTAAAAATCACCTTTCACGCGCACCAATCGAATAGGCGTCGGATACATAACAAATTTATTCTACGGTGTCAAGTTTCAACCGTAGTCAATCGACAACGACGATTGCAGCAATTATTACACGAAAGATCGTTACGTCAGCGAGCCCTACGACAGCAACGCTTTTAATTTCAGTGAAATCCGAAACGTTAACAAAAGAAACGCGAGCGCGGGTACGTATCCGATCCAAGCGATAACAATTCCCAATTTAACAATAATACAGCTGATATCGCTTCCCCTTTTTGATTTGTAATCCAATCGATCCAACGCGTTGAAGAAACACTTCGGTTAAGAAGCAACCACTAGAAAGGTATGGTTGCTCCGATCTCAAGATCCATCGACCTCTCCGTCATGTCGATCGACCTGACGACGCAACGAAGAGCACCAAGAGACGATCTAGAACCGTCGAACGAGCTTTGCGTACCCACGGTCCTTCTCGAGGGTCGAACGAACCTTCTGGCTGTTCTGTTCGGCCAGGTTCGATAGAAAGGCTCCTGGTTGTAGCGTTTCAAGGCACTACAGATAACCGACGACCTTCGCGGCGGTAAATGAGAATGCGAAGGGCAACCGCAGTGCTGCCACGCCAAAGTCGGCGCTTTGCACCGAAAGATAGGAGCCCTGAAAGCCTCCGGAGGCCTCAGAATCGGGAGATCGCTGATCCTCAAAGCCACTCCCGCGCCTAATGGTTTCGAAATCGGAACACCGTCGAACGACTCTCGTCTGTCGCGCTCGGTAGACCGTAGGATCGCGACATCGCCGAATAACGTCTCTGTTGTTCCGGTAGACTCCGTACCGGACGCGTTCTTCGGATTCCTTCCGCCGATTTCACTGATATTCCCCTGTTGAGACTCCGTCTCACTTACTCTGTTGACATCTGGAACGTCGTTCCGCTTGACTGTACCCGAGGACCTCGACGTCTCGGATTTTCGAGCGACCTGTCGCGCAGAACTTCCCGAAGGCGCTAGATCGTCCTGATCCGAATAGTCCAATTGGTCAGGCGGTTCGATCGCACCGTTATACGTGGATCAGGAGGATGAATTCGCCTCGACCGTCGAGCTGGTCGAGGCATCGTCGTCTAAAGAGCTCTGCGTGGCCACGGTGACCTTGTTCCCACCGTTCTTGCCGGACAGCTGACGATCGGTAACAGTTTGACGGGGATGGCGTCTCTTGTAGGGCTCCCAATCCCCAGGACCCCGGCGTCAGTGCGTCGCGATCACATCCGGAGCACTCTTCGTGCTCTCTATGCTGAAGGGTCGCCTCTGATCGACCTCTATCACCGCCTCCGCCCTGTACCTTGGATCGTGCGGCATCTGCTGATGGCACTTGGGTGTGCCAGAATGCTGAGTGCTCGACGCATTGCTGGATCCGTGGCCGGATCCGTAAATAGAACCGTACCTCTCACCGGACCCGATCGTCGCTTGCCTTGCGAACTTGGGCGATTGACGATAGACACTGGTCTCCTTGCTGGATTTCGGGCTCTGGTACCTCTGGTGCGAAGGATAATCCGGAAGGTCCGAGTAAGGCGAACCTTGGTGAGGAGGTAGTTGATAGCTGGACTCGTGGGTCGACCAGCCGGGTGGAGCTGGGATTGGATTGTGCTTTGGACAAACACCCATGCTACCGTCCCGATCTCTGGACGCTGGACTGCAACCGGAGCATTGAGAGCTCGGCTGCTGAGGACTCTGCTCCGAAGACGGTTGCGAACTGTGATGGGAAGGTTGAGAGCTGTGTCGCGACTGCGGCGGACTTTGGTGGTGGTGCAGGTGATGATGACGAAGGTGGTGAAGATGATTGTTGGTCCCGTTTTGGGAAATACTAGGTGTCCGTACGCCGAAAGTAGTAAAGCCTATAGGCGCTGCGTTGTCCGGGATTCGGGGTTCGAAGAGGGTCTCCCTCGTTTGACAGAAGTTGTCGCGCATCTCTGGTTCCTCGTTGGATTCCTGCAACCGTTCCTGGGTAGCGTTACTGACGTTGTTGCTCTGGTGGATGTCGTTCATGTCCCTGGCGTTGTAACCCATCTCCAGTACCAAGTCCTTCGTGTATTCTTGGGCTATTAGGGTGGTGGGCGGTAAAAGTTCTTTGCTGGGCACCACCTCCAGACTCGGTGACTCGCTTCCTCGGTCCCTGATGTCTGTCCTGGAAGACGAGATGGGACAGGGTGTTGCCTTACGACCGAGTTCGTCCAATCGATTTTCTCTGGACTGCCTGATGTGCTCCTGAGGGAAGACAAACGGATTTTTCCAATTAGTCGAGCAAATATTTAAGCTTCAACGGGGAGCGGCCGTTGGAAGTCACCGTAGTAATTTTATGGCTACAATTAGATGGCATATTTCTCGAAATAGTTTAAAAAAACTTGAACTATTGTTAATATAGAGTACGGTGACTGTATTTGGAGGGTCATTGCAAAGGAATCGTAACATTGAAGGAATAGAGAGTGCCGGTGGTATAGCATCTCTCGTTGAAAGAATTCAAATTAACGGAGATAATAGCAGGTCTGAATATCCGACCATTTTTGCGCTCGTACGTCTTCTCATCCGTAATTGAAATAGAAATTACCTTGTTATCATTTGCACATATAGCTTTCTCAATGTATTGTTAAGTCGGTTTTTCATTCAGTACAATGCAATTTACATTGTAATTGGAAACCTGAACGATCGTTTTTTGCGTTACGGGACTTTTGCGTTGAAGTGAAAACAAAAAATATATATATATATATATATATATGCATATCCAGCGAAACGCTAAAATAAATATGATTATAGGTTGTTTGAATGTTAACGAGCAAAGTTTCACGAGGCTGTAATATCTCCCAAGTAATTACCATTTTCTGAACCGGATCGTTTGTTTGAAATTAATTTTCGTTCGCTCGTTAATGCTTATTGGAGTTCAGCACTTTACTATCATTCGTGAATGGATGAAACGAACCGTGGGCCCATTTCGTATCGCGTGTTATCAGTTTTTCCCCGCGTTGCGTGCACGTTGGCCACGTAAAGCCATACGTGACAAATTCGTGCCGTGAATTGAATCGAAAATCTCGTAGATTCGATCCGTGATCGAAATTCAAGAGATGCCTCGTTGCGCGATCGGCGCACAGCACACAAAAAAGCAACAATCGTTCGTGATTTTTCGATACACATATTTTTTTTTTTTTTTTTTTGTCTGTTTCCGTGATATTGTTGTACAATCTACGAAACAGTTCGCAGGGTAAATACGTCTTTAAAGAACGTACGTCCATTCATCAACCTTTAGTTTTGACAACCGAACGTTTTAATAGTCATTCGCGAGAGTTAACGGTTTTAATGGTGCATAAAATGGTTGACCGTACCAAATGGCGTGTAACACTGGCCAGATTTTGACATAGAGGCAGAAAAATTCACGTATAAATATATCCACCGTAACGGGGCTTTCATAGCTGGCAATAAAGGCGCTGAATCATCGAATGCCACGCCACTGGGGGTTTGTAAAGTTTTCGATTCACCGCGATACCAATACGTGTAGCGTAAACAAGCATAGTTTATTAACAAGTGTACCGATTAAAGATCGTAGTTCTCTCGCGTGCACTTGATTACGCGAACAGAACGTTCGACCAAAGAAGTGCTTATAGAAAAATTAATCGAAAGGAAATCAACGTTTCGCGCATTTTTACTCGGCGCTTTTCGAGCATCGCGCGATCACCGACACACGTTTAGCGATACTTTTAATTCAGCGTCTAATCAATTTTCCAGGAGACTGGCACGATTACCAGGCGAAGCGACTGTTAAGAGCAGACTCGCTTACCCGAATGATTCGATGATCTCGCACGAGCTTCCGTATACAGTTGAAAACGAAGGCGAAACTCATACCGAACAGAATCAGAGAGAAAATGATGAGGATTATGACGATGTGCTGGGAATCGATCAGCCGTGACTTCTTCGTCTGCAACAAAAAAAAAAAAAGGTAAGAGGGTTCTTTATTAATTGACGCGATTGCTTTCTCGCGTAATCGTTACTTCCTCGTTCAAGCGTTCCCGTAGACAAGTTCTCACAGTTACGGTTTCGAATAGCAACGTATATGCACAAACATGGCACTCGACTTATCAATAGACGGAGTTTACCATAAATTACTCCAATTTCGTTCACGCAAAACGTACGCATATTAAGTAAATCATGTACTCGTTGAGTAAATAGATGAAACGTGAATAGACGCGTAGATGAGAACCGTCGCGGCTGTGAAAGGAACTGTCTCTCGTAACTCGCTAATCATCGGCAACGGTATGCAGAACTTTCATAGAGAGCGGATACGTGCTCGTGTTGACAATGGATGACAAAGTACACATTCATCGAGAACAGTTACTGTGGCACGATATAGGAAGTTGCGCATAACGCAGCAAGCCGAATCTCATTCTCTTCTCGCCCTTTGTGTACCTCGTTTCTCGCGTTTGCCGGCTGTGAAGCCGCGGCATTAAATACCCTGCTAAAATTTACAGAGCCGCGCGCCATCGACCATTCGCGCGCGTGTACGTAGATCAAAATTCGAGGATGAGATTCCTGGCGTAGCGCATACGTCGGATTACGCGCAGGGTTCCGGATTTCTTTCTCCGTTCCGTCTTACTCCGTCGTGTCTTTCACAACTGACGCATCGTTGACTACCAGCGACTTATTCGTCCTGTTGTAACTAAACAGATATTTCGTCGCGGGCTTAATTCGAAAATCCTCACTCTCGAGCTGGAATTTTCACAAACAGAAATAAAAATAGCTGGAACGGTTGCGCGACTAGAAAACGTGGCCGCGACATTTCGATAGGAATACCAGAGGCTAGATCGTATCAGTCATTTATTAAAATCGATCTATGGCCACTGCATTTCAGGAAATTGTACAAAACAGAATACAAAAACGTTCGGGATAGCAAGGACCGCAGGGTGCAATTACCCATGATGGGACGATTACGGTGTCATGACGATCTTTCACGGTTCTATAAACGATTCGGTTCTGTTCTCCTCTGACCACGCCAAAAGCTAATTTGCGAAACGTCGGACTGCGATAATAGCAACAAGAACAATGCCGTATAATGAACACATTCGACTGCAAGTTTGGGCAATTAACATTGTAGACGGTGATATCGTGTTTCTGGCTTTTGTGGCGATGCTCGTGGCCACGAATGTCACGCGAATGAGATTTTCGTGCATCGAACGTTTACGTTTTTTAAAGGGATGTCGAACCGGTAGTGCGTTCATGAGACGGATAGGAAAGAATGCCCAGAGAAGGATACGCGAAGCTCTTGGTTGAGGGGTTGGAAATGCCTTCTTCTTTTCCCGTAAGCCCGAGAGGTTTATTGTTATGCTTATATGGACGAGCACACTCTAGACATATGTTGCGCCTGTTCGCGGGAGTCCATGGAAAAATGCATCTGAAACGGCAACTGCATTCGCAACGAGGGAGGATACTTTTGATGTGTTCTTTCGCTGTTTGGAGACAAAATTTATTCCGATGCTCGATATTTTTGCCTTCGTAGCATTCTCCAGATATTTAATACTTCGATTCTCTGCGCCTCATTCCACTCTGGCTGGAAACGTGCTACTGCTTTCTACCGATACATCCCACAAAGTCCCATTCCTATCCAAATTCTACGAAAGACTTTGCAGTACTCGATTTTAGGGGTTTATCGACGCAAACCATGCTTTAACGAACTTTCAGTCTGGCTTTCGTCGCGCATTCGGTTTTACTCGCTACTGATTCTCACCACGCTCAAAAGCTTTTGAAACGCCAGATCATGTTTCGCTAGTTGCAAAAGTCCATGCCTTTGGCTTTTCACCATGTACTCCGCCATGGATGCCTCACTCAACGCGCTCAGCGATTATCCACATATTCTTATCATTAGATCCTCTATTCTATCAATTCTTTATTACGGTTTGAATGAAACGCTGTGCTCCAGGTTCGAAACCATCTTTGGAATGTTGGGTTTGCATAGGTTATTTAGGATTCATAATTTGTCGGACATTATGTTCTCGTGTTCTTCGTAATCAAGCTTCTGACCGACGTTAACGAACCGCCGGAAACGATACGGTTGTTCAACGTCAGTTTCTCCACGACGCTTTCAGGTTTCGATCGCGTCGACGGAAGTTCGTATCCATCGACGTTTCGCGAACATGCCACGATAAGGGAACATCAAACTGTCTGTCGGATAAGTGAAATGGACACGGAACGTTCTCAGCGTGTCCTTCCCGTCTCGCTTGCGTCTGCAGCAAGATCAACCGGAGAATCCTTTGAACGATCCAGCGGATTGTGTGACCACAGAAAATATTTACTCTCGATCGCATCAGATTTATGGTGGCTAACGTTAACGATACGACGAGTACAGCTCGAAGCACTCGCGTTATGAAACTTTCCCGTAATCCTTGACACGAATCGAGTAACAGACTTTGCTTCTCTTGGACCAACCAGCGAACAGACGATGAAATTATTGCAACGAATTTATCCACGGTCGAATAGAATTCCACAGAAATCGCGATGGAATCCCCGTTACGAGCAATTTTGCTGTATTCAAGGCGGGTGTTATGGAATTTCTACGAACGCGAAATGTTAGGTATGTCTGCCTTGGCAAAGAAAAATGTTGCATCAACTCTTCTTTTTCAAAAGAAATTTCGAAGACGAACGAGAATCGTCTCGTCTCGCGCAGGTTCATCCATTCCTTGACCCGGATCACTGCACTGACAGAGATTTGCGAGCAGGCGGTGAAATTAATGATAGTCCGGTGAGAATCTCTTGTCGTCGCTCGCGGAAAAGAAATAATTAGTCGCAGGGGATAAAACCACTGAAGAAGTTCTCATTAACGGGAAATAACGACTATACGGATTTTGTTATTTTCTCGAACTATATCGGCCAAAAGGAATATTACTGGAAGGAACTGATAATTAAAGAACATTCCCTGCGGTTTAATTATTGCAAAATCTTGACGCAACAGACTACGATACGATCGATATTTATCGAAAAGATGTCGGCCGTGATGGAAATAAATGGTGACACGTCAGCGACTACTGGCGAAATACAAGAGCAATCCTCTTGGGATGATAACGGTACGCTTACTATCCGTAACGCGAAGATTGATAGATGAAGTTAAACGAAATCGAATGTCTCCATTTACACGGAATCCTACGAAGAAAGGATTCCAGCCTTTAAGAATTCATCCTTTCCCGACAAGTGATTCAATCGAACGTTTGAAAAATTAAGAAAGACGATTCGATTCCACAGCTTTGCATACGTGTGAAATAAATTCTTATCGAAACAAACCGAATACAAATCAAATCATATATAATTATGTATACTTTATACATAATTCATGAAGTATCATTAATTTGTCCATTGGAACAAAATTGTAATCGTAATTATTTCACAATTAACGAGTTCATCGTGTCTAATGATTACATGTATAATGATTACATCGGTTCGTAATCATGAATTATCTATTATTGGCGTCGAGGTTTAAAATAAGAATTTAAACGCATAATTTTACACGAATGCGAAAGCTTTCCGGCGTGTTTGATTGCCTGTGCCGCTTTGTACGATACGAGAATACATTTCCCGGATGTTCCGACCGTTTTTCCATCGTGACTCTTCCCTAGCGTTCGGTTTCCATTAGTATTTACCTGGCGAGCGCGAAACGAGATAAGTGGTATGGGTGCAGTTTCCATTAGGCGGGAATAAAATTGGATAGGACGACTGGCATGGTGTATCTCTCCACGATTTCGTCCTGCGTTCTGTCCGTACCGTCAATTTCGTGGCCACGTTCCCATGCGAATTGGACCGCTGTCGCGGTGTACAATCGTACATTGCTTTATTGGAGTTACAAGACAGGATGGGGTGTCAGCCACACGACGAATGGGCAAAAAAAAGGTTGGATACAAGACGATACGTAACCTGGACTTCGATCGTTATTCATGTACTGCAGGACACGAATACATTTCAATTAAATTTAATTAATTTGAGTGGTACGCCATCTCAAATGACAAAAGTTAATATTATTTCTTATAAATGTTTGGTTAATGTGTTAACACTGTAATAGAACTTCTAATATACTAATAGCTAATATATTTTAAGTAATTTATTTATCGTACCTTTTGATGGTAAATACAAGGCAAGCAAAGCATATCTGATACACGCATGGCTGTTTCGTCTGAACGTATTACATTACTCGTCCTTTGAAATTGCTGGCTGTTTAAATAGACCCGTAAACAATGCCGTTGTCGCTCGCGTAATTTTCCGCGCACCAGGTAAAAGATTACGGGAACTTTGCGAGAAACGAACGCGGGGTTGGTATCATTTTTTACATCGCTTCTAACTTCGCTTCAAGAGCGATGTCCTAAGGAGAAGAGCTGCGGCCGTTACAATGACTTTTCGCGACGACCGAGATAAATTCACGTGGAACGTAGACGTCGGGAAGTAATCGATGAATGGTTTCAAATCAATCAACATCGATTTACAAGGAATTCGTTTGGAAGGGAGCTATAGCACCTTTTCTCGAATTTCTCTAAAACGGAACAAGACGCGACTTCGTTCGTGCGATCAAATTAGAGGAATCCTTTTTTATGCTCGGTGTATCTTTGATGAATCGTACAAACAGAAAGGAATTCTTGAGCCTTCTTTGCCGGCGGCCTGCTTTCCAGGGTAAGAAGCTGGCGATCTTACGAATGGATATTGCTGTATAACCAACCGCAAAGAGCTTCATTTTTGCGGTTTAACCGAAGGGTTTCTTTTTCCTTTGCCGGTGTCGAGGATCGGGCTGAGCCGACCTTATTTGTGGCTACTTCTTTTAATCCGAACGTTTTACTTAGAAGAAAGGCTTGAACTCCCATCTCGTCTTTGTCGCGGCCGTATCTTCGACTCGGCCTAAACGAGCCACTCGATAATATTTCCTTTCTCGAAAGCGGTGCAAGAAAGAATACAGCGGTTAATTGAGTCGTCGTCTCTCGCTTGAGAAAAGGATCTGTTTCGTTGTAGCAACGATTCTCATGGAAATCTAGAATCGGAATGTTAATCAGATTACGAGTCAACCGTGGTCTTGGACGATTCCTGTTGAGGATTCATCGTTCGGATTCACCCTTTCGGTTATTCTCGAATCGAGGAGGCAACCATATCCGTTACGCACCGATTAAAATATCACCGAGGTGTCGATTTTCGTGCACTGGGAACCGTTCACGCGTCGTGCATGTTGAAACAAGGCTGCAATCGGATGGCAACGTATCGTCGGCATTAATTGCTGATGAATTAATATCCCGTCGGTGTCATGGTGCTGTTGTTTCGGTGGTGGCTTGTTTTGGTAGTTTGCCAGTCGCGCATACTATTTTGCGCCCCCGGAACCGGAAATAGCTTTCCGTATAGCGGGACGATACGCATTCGGATATCACGAAACCGCGAGTCGGAGGTCAGGGAAACGGAACGACTGGCTCCGGCCAGCAAAAGCTGGCCTGAATAAATTAATTAACCACTGAGGAAGCGGGCACAGAGACAGCTCCGAGAGGCTGGAGGATATTACTGGCTCTACTACGGTCCCACACACCGGATTCCCGTGGTTTCCTACAAAGAAGTCGATTTCCTAATGAACGCGATCGAGAATTCATGGATTATTAATGGATACCAATGGTGACAATAATCCTGGTAATTTCTACATAAGCTGTCGATGAATCGATTTCGCGAGATGGCAAAAACGGGAATGGTTCACGCGAATTTAACGAGAAAGCGATGATCCGTTTTATTAGAGGCTCACGGGTAAAGCTGCGGCGTACATATTAAATATAGCGAAGACGGTGGCTCGAGTCTAGATAGACGTGCTGAACCTTCTTTGAATAAATTAATTAGACCCCTGGAACAGACGAAGACTGCGCAAAAGGGTAGAAAGGGATTAGGTCTACGCGATGTGCCATTCTTACGGCGCTGCATATCCTGGATCCCTGGTTTGGCACTAACAAATGAGAAACCGAGGTAATTCCAGCCAGGATGATATTTTCGCATGACGCGAGGACCGACTGCTGCGAAACCACGTTGTATTGCGTGCATCCATTCGTTTGCTTTTGCTATACGGGGGAGCACGATAGACATCTTATACGAAGGATTTATCGTCGACTTCTTTAACAGATTACTCCTAATAACAGTTTCTAAATGATGCTCAAGAGCGGTACTTGTTTCGATGCAGCGAAGATGATTCCGGAAATCGGAAAATATTTAACGGCCAGCGCCTAGATTGAATTGCATTTGGACGTAATGTTCGTTCACTTACGTGGCAGGCCTGGTCTTCTTCGTCCCACCGGAAACGGCAATTGACCCTTCCGTTGCACGTTAAGTTCGCGTCGATGCAGGTCGCGTCCTCGCAATAGTACTCGTCGTCGAGGCAGGCTAGAAAAAAGAAACAGAAGAACGAACAAATAGAGACGTTACACGCTCGTACTTTTAAATCATCGTACAAGTTTTAGTATCGTCCGTGGAAGGGCGTGGTTCGGAATTTTCGAACGGAAATCAGGAGTCGACGCGACGTCTTGTAAATCCAGCAGATTTCAAACAAACTCGAAGCTAGCGAAACGATGAATTAAATTCCTTTAAACGATTCAGTTTCTTTAATTACGCGCTAAAACTTTACTTTAACGCGAGGAATTTTTGTATTGTCCGGCACGATCATTCGAGACTAGACCATACGAGTCGGGCGAAGAACTTTTCCTTTAAAGTCTTATCGTTGGAGGAGATAGACGAGCAAGTGAATTTCTCGGTTCTACGGGCAAGTCACCGGTAAGATATTAGTTTCGCGGGGATGGCAGGTGCGGAGAGCCGGGAATTCTTCCCGCGATGAGATAGAACGGGGAATTCCGTACGCGTAACCGCACTACCGCTGGGTTACTCCATTTACCATTCAGCTGTGGCTCTGCCGCCATTAATATAGGATTCGAATCCTTTAGCAACCGATTATTCCCTTCGGTATGAACCGGTTAAGCAGATTACCTTTTTTCGTCGATATCGTTGCATTTATCGGATGAAGCAATTGAACGGAGCAGGATTGGATCGGATCGAAGTCGGTCGATCGTACTAATTGATAGCTTTAAACGAACGATTCCATTCGTTTCACTGACTGTTTAAAGAATGCCCGCATAATAAGAAGAAATACACCACACTCGCGGAAGATCTTTTTATCGCGGTAATACTAAAGGGTTGTTCTCCGTTAAATCGATCGCTTGATGCGGTCGACGTCAGGAATTTTTATAAAATTCAAATATCATAGTTCATTCATAGTTATAGTCATAGTACAATCATAGTTGGTTTAGCTAACTTCTAATTCCAACGATAAGTTCTTTCTCTGGTCTACTTGAAAAATAAATTTAGCGTATCCTGGCTCGTTCCACAGTATTAGTATTCGCATAAAACACAGTTCGGAAATTGGATGATTATTAACGCGTCTCAAACCGAAGACCGCGAGTCTTCGTGGTCAATTGCACGCTCCGTTCGCAAATTGCAATTTGGAATAATAGCCCGGAGTTAACGAGTCACGATCTCGCGCGGACCCCAGAGATTAATAAAGCAACTTTCGTCGCGTAAAAACAGCACCGCGCAGAAGGGTTTCGCGGAACAATGGAAACGGTTATGTACGCTTGGATTACACACAAAGGACGGTTCGCTTTATCGATGGATACGTCGATATCGGTTAAGTGAATAAAGTTGTTAATTAATCGCCGTGGAACGAGCCTCTGAAAATCGAGAAAACCTATCCGAAGCGACAGAGACACGCGAGCGTCAGATGGTAGATAATCCAATTATATTTTTTTAACGATCCATCGCGCGATAGTTAGGCCACGCACTAGTAATTGCCGCTCGTTTGCGAACTAGAAAGTTTAATTTCCATTAGACTGCACGCCACGGGAATATTGCGAGAGTCTTTGTTCGCGGCACGCCTGTAATTTCGATGTTAAGTTTCATTAAAGTTAACACCAGACGTACCGTGTTCGACCGAGACCGTTTCGTGTCGGGGGATTGAGACATACGGTCTAATGGGAACGTACTAAATTAACGGAGCTCCGCAAGTTTTTGCAGTAATTGAAAATAAAAGTAATTATGGAGAAGACTAATCATGGAAGAGACAAATGGTTATTATTTATCAGAGAGACTCGGCACGCAAATCGTTGGAACATTAACGATACGAACAGTCCATTATACGGAATAACTTCGAGTGGCATTTTACCTAACCGATCTGTAATACAAAGCGGCAGGGTAGGGGGTGTAATTACAATTGTACGAGTAATTTCGCGGTAATTCAGGTGCTGCCAGATATATAATTTGTAACCGATGCGATCGATGGTGCACCGAACAACTTCGTACGATAGAAGATCCTTCGTCCTTGATCCAAAGGCGTGCTTTGGGTTTAAAAATATCACCATCCACTGCATCAAGTGGTTACATTATTCCGCCAAATAATATCCTCGACGATATGGAGACCGAATGAAAGCTACCACAGGCTGAACAATTAATCGACCATGTGTGCAGACTCACGTTTGTCACCCGGGTCTCTGTCCCTGAGCGCTGTCATGACGGCTTCGAAGCTGCTGTTCAGCGCTTTAGGTTCAGCGTAAAACCTGACAAAGGCGATATTGGTGTGGATGACGACGGTGTCGGCGATGCTGCCGCAGAAATTCTTCTCTCTCGAGGACATGTCAGTGCGTTCTTTGAATATGTCCACGAAGTTGGCGTCGCACTCGTTCGGTCGTTGCAGCTTGAAGGGATCCGAGAACGTCAGCTGAATCTGAAAATTGTACGTGTTTCCACGATGAATGCCGGAGGATTCTTTTTCGAAGCTTAACCGCGATGTTCAAAGGATTTCTATCAATTAGGCGGTGCGGTTTAAGAGGAAAACGGGGCGAAACGTCGGGATCGGCCAACATTTTTGCGAGGCATGCGATCCCGTTTTCAGAAAGAGAACGAATGCCCCGAAAAGGCAGCAGGGATTAAAGACATTTCGACGAGCTGACGAGGCGCTCAGTCTTTGAGCGATTTCGTTGAAAATGCACGTCACGTTGACGATCTTTCTTCTTTTAATTGTCGAAATTCCGAAGATCGTCAACGCGATGTTTACCAGCACGAACGGGAGAGACTAAAGGCTGTCTTTTTCCTAACAATTATTCCAGCTTCCTACCTTCCATCCCTCCTTCACCGTAATGTTCCACATGCAGTCCAACGGGGTGCCTTCTTTCTCGGCGAGTTTCTTCCGGTCCACGACATCGTCGCTCTTGATAACAGCTTCCATCCCGTTCACGTATCGTACGCATGGCTCTGGTTCCGGTGGCACTCCAGCTGCGAATCACGCCTTGTACAATACAATACAGCGAGTCCCCAACTTACGCGGTTAATTTGTTCTGAAACTTTCCGCGCAAGTCGAATTGTATAGATACGACTAGCAGTCCAGGATCGGTCTTTCCATCGATTCAAACTCCGAAATTGATTGAATATTCAAGGCATGTCACACGTCGGGGATGAGTGCGAGTAAGAGAAAGCAGAGGTAGCGTAACCATGCGTTCCACGTTATTTCGAGATCGCGTAACTCAAGGACCGACTGCATCGCGGTCGCTCGCGTTTCATTTTCCACCGATACCAGCTCGTCGATATTCGAGCACGATTCACTCCAGTCGACGCCACGAGCCAATGGATTGCACGCTCCTCGAATTACCAGCGGGCTCCGGCAGAACAGCCACGAGAATGCAAAAGACCGTCCGCGTAAAGAAACAAACAAACAAAAAAAAAAAAAAAAAAGAAATGCCAAGCCCATTGTTCGCGGTATAATTCATTTCGCATTCCCGTTTCGAATTGACGCTGTGAAGGTTCCCCGACCTAGCTGGCGACGCACAATAAAAGCGCAGGAAATTAATCAACCGCGAAAACAGATTCGACCCTCGTCCGATTCATTTCCTCCTTTTGTTGTAGCGTTGTTCCATCGCCCACGGCGTGCACGAGGAGAGCTACGGCGTTTTGGAGCGTGTCAAGAGTAACGGTATTCGTAGCCGCGAGGGCGGAAACGCGAAAAACTTAACGAGGCTTATGAAGCGCGAACGAACATCGTTGCACCGTACTCCGTCTTGTGGCGCGTGTTGAGATCTTCGAGTAAAGGGAAAATCGTTTGTTTATATCGCGGTTATTTTTCCAGTTATTTTTAACGTCACCATTACAGTCGACGCGAATAAAAATCTCACAGTGACACCAGATAGTCGAAAGATCCCGGTAGATTGGAAGCTTCCCAACGTTAGCCAGTGTTGGGGCTAACGTCCGGATGAGAATTTTGATCCGAGAATCACCCGGCACCCACCGCTTTTGTTTCAAACGGATAGGAGGACGTGATGGGTATATTCTTCTATCGAAAAGGATGAACATAAAACACTTAATTTGCAATCGTTAACGGGAAATTTATTTTCCCTCGTTTCGTACAGTCTCGTGTCCGTCTAGTAGTTTTTCATTTCCCCGTCTCAAAGAGTCAACATCCGAATATTTTCGGCAACAAGCTATAAATTACACGTCTGACGGTTATCGCCTCATCGTGCGTTCATCTAATAAAATGATGATCGTATATATCACGTAAGTCAAACGATTAACGAGCCTCGCGGCGATCCAAAGATGAGGCGCCACTGTAAGGAGATCTATGGAACAGCTCGATGGCTCTTGCCGCGGGTGGATCCCGGGTATTCATAGCCTTCCCCTGTTCTTCCTGGTGACTATGAATTAATTTTGGCTTCCGTTCGCGCTCGCACGGTACTCGGTGTTCATCCATTCCCGACGTGTCTCGTAATTTCTCAACCAAGAACACGACGAGAACAACCAAGTATTCGCGATACAGATACCCCCCGTGAAATGTTAATAACGATGGTCGTTATTCTTTCTCCCCGAGCCCGCATTTCCCCCTGATCCACGAAATGCGCGACAATTACGAATAACGATGAAACTGTAAATGATGAAACCAAATTTTATTATTCGTGCCGTGTCCGTAATGAAATGTAACTGAATCCGGAGTTTCAACATTCGTTAACATTGTTCGCGTACATTCGGTCGCAGAGATATTCGTCATAAATTATGACTACTTCGTGTGTCTCGCGAGATGATTTTTATTACGAAACCGAGATCGTTTATCGAATATCACGAGGCATGACGCGAACGAATCGCAGTGTCGCGCGTTAGAAAGTATCGTGCATATCGCGCAACGTGACGGACAGGAAGAACGAGCGTAATTCCGTGGACTTACGATAGGTCGGTCTTGGTATCATGCTCCAGACGGCCTTGAAGCCCTTGCCCTCGATGCTATCGTCGCTGTGGAATCGCAGCCAGAGGTATCTCGTCTTCGACGTGATCTCTGGGGGGAAATTCGTGCCGCAGTAGTTGCCGAGGAGATTGGAGTAGCCGTGCTGGCCGTCACGTACCTCGAGGAAATCGTAACGGCAGTCGGCGCTATCCTCGAGCTTGAACTCGTCCCGAAAGTCGAGCTTCAGTAGCATATCTTTGTCAGCTGAAATACGAGAGGGGAAACGGGACGTTAGAGGCTGAAGTGGAATGCGGAGACGTCGACCGTCTTGACGACCCGCGCTTCATCGAGGCTGTAACTTGAAAACGAACGCAGCATTTAAAATACAAAAAATTCTAAGGGGATAGGGAAATTGGAATCGTTCGCAATCGGTGTTCGGTATTTAAATTACCTAGTGAAAGATAATTTGCTTTTTGAAAATTGTAAAGTCCAAGGCTATAACAGCAACAATTTGCACGAGGAAAGTTCGACCAAGGTTTCGTGGGAACGACGATCTTGGAACGGGAAGTAGGTGTACGTTCATTGGATGCAACATTCCTAGCTTGTCTTTCCAAGAAAAACAATCTCGCGCGCAGGACACACATTGTTCGAATCCCTGTGCAAGAATGTGCTCGGGATCGGTCCGGTTACACGACAAATATTCTGATGTCGTTAGCCTCGAAAGTCGCTCTGGCACGCCGCCAGGTTGTTCGTCGTAGTCCCCCAGTTCCTCGTTTTTTTTGGAACGTCGAAGTACGCGGCTCCGCGTGCAGTTCGCGCAGTGTTTTGCCGTACGTTTTTATTTGGCAATGGAAAAAAAATTATTCCATCTCTCAAATTGAGGCCATATTTCCAGAAGTCATAATTTACTATAGCACCTCGGGAAATAAAACGGTGCCAACGGTGATTTTTGCTTTTTTTACGCCATTCGAATGGGAAGAAAATAAACGGAATCCTTGACGTTCGATAAAGCGCGCCTTTCCGAGATAGACGAACGCGAAAGACGCCCTTGATGACGCTTTCCTCGTTCGACAAATCGAATTCGGTATTCTCTTATCTGCCGCACAACTTTGGGCGTATGGCGGAATATGAATGCGCGATTTACAAAAATCACGATGTTCGTGCGCGGGTCTTGCCACCCCCTCGACGCGCGTAAATCCCGACGATACGAGTTGCAATCTATAATGAGGCACTTGGGATGCAAACGGGTTCTCGCTTTCACCGCACGTACGAAGATTATCCCCGAATTATTCAGCGCGATCCGATCGTTAGAATTCACTTTATCTTCCAAAAGGCGGTTGCCTTTGTGGTGGTCCCCGTAACGAGCGGCGAATTTTTCATTCGCGATAGTAATCGCGAATTACAGAGGAACTTCCAGTTGATTGACCGACCGTTTGCGCTTTTCACGCTGTGCCTCTGCTTATATAGAATTGTTTGAACGCTTTGAAAGTGATAGCTCGTGTACCGAAATTGAATACTGGCCAGGTACCATCCTGTAACGATTCGATGATTGCACTTTGTACGAGGGTACGGCTATTCCTATTTCTGCTTTTCTCTTAAAGTCTTGAGCCCTGTTTATCGAAACGAATACGAGCAAAAACGAGGCTTTATATCGTCTTGCTGCGTATCGCAGAAGCGATTGAATAAAAGTTTGACTCGCAGCAGTTCCCATACCTGAGTCATTTCTCGCTGGCGAATAGTACGGTATTCGCGTATAAAATATCTCGGTTGCATTGCCGTTCGCGGGCTGGATAAAGATTTACGCGCGGGTCTATGGTCGCGATAGGAAGAAAAATATTGCCTGGAAATTCTATCGTCGATTATCGGGCCGCGTGTTTGTTTTTGGGCGGTTATTGCGATTAAACGGCGCTCGAGAAATAGACCGTGTATTTCGGTGGCGATTAAAATCGCGCCAACAACACCCACGAGTAATCTTTGTCGCACGAAATGAAGATTCTTGTCGATAGTCTGGCTGGTGCCCTTGCGGGACGCGTGCATCGAGTTACTTAGATCTGCGATCTCTCGACTACTAAGTAAGACTGCTTTGGGTGACTCGTGATAAATGACGTCCGAGCTTTATTAGAAGCTTTCTCGGTACACGTGCAAGGATGTCGTCCCCACGATGACGCTATTATTTTCGACGTATCGTTGCTGGCGTGTATTTTTGTCGCGGTATGAATGAAATTTTGGCCATCGTCTGCGATCAACCCACGTCAGTCGCGGTCTCGTTTCTGTCCCGTAGAATTCGCGCGTCGGTAAAGAATGAAAATAAACTGGAGGAAGTGGTATAAGAAAGTAACGGTCAGACATAATTCAAACACTTCCCCACCGATGCGTTCAGTCTTTATACTTTTACAATTCGTAAAAAAGAGTTTATAGTTGTACGTTTCAATCGTGTAGTTCGTGACAGACAATCGCGATAGGAAATCTTGCGGAAACGGGAACCGCGTAGTCATCGCAAGAGTTCCGGTCTCGATCGAGGATGTCATTCCAAGCGGCGCGGCGAGTTTCTTGGGCGAGCAAACGCTTTCCGTTCCGCGAACGGCATCTGAATAGAGACTTTCAAGACGCTCCGAGATTCTCGTTTAGTAAAACCGCGTTTTTCGAAGCAAACCGAGGAGAAAGCGGCAAAAGAGGGAAAGGTGGGAAAAAAAGGAAGGACGAAGGTCTCCGTCGCGACCATTTCCTTGGAAGGAAAAAGGAAACTCCAAAGCGTTGGCAATCCCGCTGTTCGCTTTCGCATAGAAAATACTGGCACTCCAGTCTTGGAACGGTCGATCGCGTTTCTTCTTTTCGTCAGATTCGGAGTGTCTTCTTCCCGTCCTTTTACGCTTCATTATTTTCCGATTGTATCATCGTTCGGTCTCGTAATCGACGCGAGATTGCCGCGATCTGTACCTCGAAACACTTTTCAATGGTTTCCCCTTTTTTCCGCGTTTGAAAAAATGTTTATAAATTTGACGAAAGCAGTAGCTGCGATGGTTCTTGTTGCGGGGCGTTACGGAAGAAACAACGTGATTTCGGAGGAACGCTGGGTCATTATCGCGAGTTGACGAACGTTTACGCGGAACTGCAAAGTCAGACATTTCGTGCGAGAATAGTTAATATCTATCCCAAGTTCGTGTTCCCGTTCCCGTCGATGTATACCGCGAACTTCCACGATGCTCGAGCCCCTGTGAAAGTGGAGCTTACGTAAGGAATAGCTTCCGTCGACTGGAGAAGTTCTCTTCTCCGCGAGATTCAACGCTCAAGCATTCGCGCGGGTCTTGCGACCCCGCGAAATTAGCGTGGCACGATTTCGCCCATGGAGTCTCGCGAGACTCATCCGTCTCGGAATTGCGCCACTTTCCGTTGACTATCGGTCTTCGTAGTTCTCCCGCTAACGACCAGCGTCCTTTAATAAGACCATCAGGTTTCCAGCCCTGTTCGAGCTTCTCTCGTCGTTCGCACTCTTCGTCACGGTCTGCTAGACCGCTTCTCTTTTTTATCAGCGATTTTATACATTGTGCAACTTTACCGATATCGACAGAAAAAATAGTAAATAACTCCTGGGCTTAATCTCTCGCGCTGCGAAGCATCGCAAATCGCGAAGTCCGTTAAAACGTATTTTCACTCTTTTCGACGGCTACCGTTTGAAAGTTACCGTGCGACTTCGAGGGTGATTTCTGCGCGAACGTGGACAGAGTTCGATTCCACGCAGTAACGGTTGATCTAACACTTTATCGCCGACTATTGGGCTACGTGGCTTGGCTGACATTGATCAGCCACCTCTTACCTCGTAGAGGGCTGGAGAAGCATCGACACAGATAAAAAGAGATATTTTCTCTGGGTGTCTCCGTGAAAAAGTATCGAAGCTCGAACGTGTTCCGGGTTTGGAAAGATGGCGTTGGTGATCGATAGAGATACGTTTTACTAATTTTGCGCGCCATCTTGTATCGTGGAAAATTTTGTGTAGCGCCAGACGTACGCGTTTAGAGTGGCAATTGGCCTGGTTCCAAACTGACGCTTCGGAGAAATTGGAAAAAAACCGAGGTGACATAAACCTCGTGCAGTTAAGAAAATGTTTCTCGACTTTCCGCGCTTTAGACTCATTTTATTTGGACCACTGTGTAATGCAAATAAATGGTCTAGTTGTGATTTTTATTATCCCTTGGAAGTAGGCAGCAACAACTCTTGCCGTTAGTTTGATATCGAAATAATCACTTTCCTCGTATGTATTATATGTAGACTTCTTGGCAGAGTGGTATACATTTTCAGTGTTCACGTTCCGGGAATCGATGCACCTCTCTCGCGTCGGATGTGAATGACAAGTGTGTTTGTGTAGTACAGAAGGGATTTGATGAAGCATGCGACTGAAGGGATGCTGGCAATACACTTGGAGTTTTGGACCTAAGAGATCCGCGGTACATACGTATGATATGCATGTGACTGGCGAAGAGTGCATTGCGATTGGAGGGTGAGTTAAGCCATGGAGAGTTCGTTGGAGTTGGTTAGTCGATTGAAAGTTAGCGAGAAAGTCGGGGTAATTTTATAAAAGTCTTGAAAACACTCGTGTCGCGATAAGATGTAACAAGAAAAATCATTGTCTATAGAGAACATCAACGTTTTTGTTCTGAATACAGTTACGGTAGAAAAAATATGGCTTCGCGAAGCTTCTTGCTGGTTCTTAGAATCCGTGGACCTTCGCAATAACGATCGCTATCTCCCCGGGGAGGTCATCGAATTTTCCATGGCGCTTTCCCTGGATAAGGGAGTGCCTAGCGTGGTTTCTGGAAGTTGCACGAGCCAACCGCTCTGTTCTAGAAACTCCGGCAAAACGGTGGAGCCTCGTTGCTCACGCTCTCGCTCGTATTCAGTGTTTATTGCTTGTAACTGCGTGCCGCCGGGCAATATTAGCAAAAATTTTCCGCAAGCCAAGAGCAACGGAGCGTTACGCGCTCAGTTTTTATGAAATCAAAGCAAGTATTCTGTTTGCTATTCTGCTACGCCCGCGGAATACACAGAGTTTTTGACTCCCGGAGAGAGTGAAATCCTATGTCGAAACTCAATTTCACGTGATTGTTTAAATTACGCCCGTGGCATTGTTTGTTGGATCAAAGGATGATCGACAACGGTTCAATGAATACACAATTTTGCGTCTGTATTTTGCGGTTCATAACGTGCTGAACGAACGCTGTCCAGGGATGGGCAAAATTCTGATCTAGATAAAAGCTTCGAATAATGAA